CAAAATAGGAAGTCCTGGACAATTTGTCTATTGATCAGCAGCAAAAATTATCAACGCAAAAGCACGTTTCTGTGATTTAACAAAACTAAATCCGTGCACGCAAAGTTTCTGTTTTTCAGCAGAATCAAATCAACTAACATCATAGATTATCCTATAGGTTCTACTTGGCACAAACACTAATTAAAAGATAAAAACACATCTAAACAAAAGGTAGATGCAAGATTTATTACTAAACAGGAACAAAAACAAAAAACACAAAGAAAATTGGGTTGCCTCCCAACTAGTGCTATCGTTTAATGCCCCTAGCTAGGCATAAAAGCGAAGACAGATCTAAGTAGTGCCATCTTTGGCACTAAATTCATAATTAGCCCGCATGATAGATTCATAAGGTAATTTGACTTTATTTCTAGGAAAGTGCTCCATGCCTTTCTTTAATGGAAATTGGAATCTAATATTCCCTTCCTTCATATCAATAATTGAGCCAATCGTTCTAAGGAAAGGTCTACCAAGAATAATAGGGCAAGAAAGATTGCAATCTATATCAAGAACGATAAAATCTACGGGCACCAAATTTCTATTTGCAACAATGGGAACATCATTGATCCTTCCCATTGGCTTTTTCATGGTGGAATCCGCAAGGTGCAAATTTAAAGAGCAATCATCAAGATCATGGAAACCTAGAATATCCCATAAAGTTTTCGGAATCGTGGAAACACTAGCACCCAAATCACACAAAGCAAAACACTCATGATCTTTAATTCTAATCTTTATAGTAGGTTCCCACTCATCATTAAGTTTTCTAGGTATAGAAACTTCCAAATTAAGTTTTTTCATCATAAGATTGCATCAAGGCATCAACAATATGTTTGGTAAAGGCTTTATTTTGACTATAAGCATGAGGAGAATTAACAACGGATTGCAACAAGGAAATACAACCTTCTTAAGAACAATTATCATAATCAAATTCCTTGAAATCCGAGATAGTGGGTTCAATACTATTTAAAGTCATGACCTCCCCAATCCCACTTTTACCAAATTTAGCATCAAGATCTAAAAACTTCGAATTCTTGGGACGCCTTCTAGGTAAATTTGACTCATCATCACTCCCATAATTATCAAGATTCATATTGCAAAACAAAGATCTAATAGGAGACGCATCAATAACTTTAAGATCCTCATCATTATTTTCATGTGAACTAGAAGAACACGCCTTTATAAAGCTATCTTTCTTAGCACGCAGTCTAGCGGTTCTTTCTTTGCACTAATCAATGGAAATTCTCATTGCTTTGAGAGACTCATTGATACCATGCTTAGGAGGAGAAGATCTAATAAGTTTAAGAGAATCAACATCAAGCGAAAGTCTATCAATGTTCCTAGCCAAATCATCAACTTTGAGCAATTTTTCTTCAAGCAAAGCATTAAAATTCTTTTAAGAAATCATAAATTCTTTCACACTATTCTCAAAATCAGAGGGCATCTTTTTAAAATTACCATAAGAATTATTGTAGGAATTTCCATAATTATTAGAGGAATTACCAGGGAACGGTCTAGCATTAAAGTTTCCTCTATAAGCATTGTTTCCAAAACTATTCCTACCAACAAAATTGACATCCATAGATTCATTATTATTCTCAATCAAAGTAGACAAAGGCATATCATTGGGATCAAGAGGAGTATTTCTAGTAGCAAACAATTTCATAAGTTCATCCATCTTTCCACTCAAAAAATTAATTTCTTCTATAGCATGCAATTTTTTACTAAAAGATCTTTCGGTGTGCCATTGAGAATAATTATCCATAATATTATCAAGAAGTTTTGTAGCATCTCCTAACGTGATTTCCATAAACGTGCCTCCCGTGGCCGAATCTAAAAGATTTCTAGAAGCAAAGTTCAAACCGTTATAAAAATTTTATATGATCATCCATAAATTCAAACCATGAGTAGGGCAATTGTGAATCATCAATTTCATTCTTTCCCAAGATTGGGCAACATGCTCATGATCAAGTTGTTTAAAATTCATAATATCGTTCCTAAGAGTGATGATCTTAGCGGGAGGAAAATACTTAGAGATAAAAGCATCTTTGCACTTGTTCCAAGAATCAATACTATTTTTAGGCAAAGACGAAAACCAAACTTTAGCACGATCTCTAAGTGAAAACGGAAATAACTTCAATTTAACAATATAGCTATCCGTATCTTTCTTCTTTTGCATATCACACAAATCCACGAAGTTGTTTAGATGAGTAGCGGCATCTTCACTAGGAAGGCCGGTGAATTGATCTTTCATAACAAGATTCAGCAAAGCAGTATTGATTTCACAAGACTCAACATCATTAAGAGGAGCAATCGGATACTAAGGAAATCATTATTATTGGTATTTGAGAAATCACACAATTTGGTATTATCTTGCGTCATGGCAACAAGTAATCCAATACACAAGCAAACAGAAAAAGGCAAGCGAAAAAAGAGAGGAGGAGATTGGGAAAGAGAGGGCGAATAAAACGACAAGGGTGAAGTGGGGGAGAGGAAAACGAGAGGCAAATGGCAAATAATATAAATGCGAGGGAGATGGGTTTGTGATGGGTACTTGGTATGTCTTGACTTGAGCGAAGATCTCCCCGACAACGGCGCCAGAAATCCTTCTTGCTACGTCTTGAGCTTGCGTTGGTTTTCCTTGAAGAGGAAAGGGTGATGCAGCAATAGTAGCGTAAATATTTCCCTCGGTTTTTGAGAACCAAGGTATCAATCCAGTAGGAGGCTCCTCAAAAGTTCCACGCACCTACACAAACAAATAAAGAACTCGCAACCAATGCAATAAAGGGGTTGTCAATCCCTTCACGGCCACTTGCGAAAGTAAGATATGATAGAGATAATATGATAAGATAAATATATTTTTGGTATTTTATAATATAGATGCAAAAAGTAAAGATGCAAATAAAAGTAAATTGGAAGCAAATATGATAAGAGATAGACCCGGGGGCCATAGGTTTCACTAGTGGCTTCTCTCAATATAGCATAAGTATTATGGTGGGTGAACAAATTACTGTCGAGCAATTGATAGTAAAGCGAATAATTACGAGATTATCTAGGCATGATCATGTATATAGGCATCACGTCCGCAACAAGTAGACCGACTCCTGCCTGCATCTACTACTATTACTCAACACATCGACCGACTCCTGCCTGCATCTAGAGTATTAAGTTCATAAGAACAGAGTAACGCCTTAAGCATGATGACATGATGTAGAGGGATAAACTCATGCAATATGATATAAACCCCATATTTTTATCCTCGATGGCAACAATACAATACGTGCCTTGCAACCCTTTCTGTCACTGGGTAAGGACACCGCAAGATTGAACCCAAAGCTAAGCACTTCTCCCATGGCAAGAAAGATCAATCTAGTAGGCCAAACCAAACTGATAATTCGAAAAGACTTGCAAAGATAACTCAATCATACATAAAAGAATACAGAGGAGATTCAAATATTTCTCATAGATAAACTTGCTCATAAACCCACAATTCATCGGATCTCGACAAACACACCGCAAAAAGAGTTTACATCGAATAGATCTCCACAAGAGAGGGGGAGAACATTGTATTGAGATCCAAAAAGATAGAAGAAGCCATCTAGCTAATAACTATGGACCCGAAGGTCTGTGGTAAACTACTCGCAACTCATCGGAGGGGCTATGGTGTTGATGTAGAAGCCCTCCACGGTCGATTCCCCCTCCAGCGGAGCGCCGGCGAAGGCTCCAAGATGGGATCTCACGAATACAGAAGGTTACGGCGGTGGAAATTGTGTTTCGTTGGCTCCCTGAATGTTTTTGGGGTACGTAGGCTTATATAGGAGGAAGAAGTACGTCGGTGGCCGCCCGAGGGGCCCACGAGACAGGGGGCGCGCCGCTTGTGGATTAGCCACCGCATGTAGCGATGGTGTGGGTGCATCTCTACCGACGTGTTGCTGGCTGATTGTTCAACATTGCGAGATGGACGACAAAAGTCGTGTTATTTTTCGGCCGACGGTGTTGACGCCTTTGGGTGTGTTACCTATTGAAGGATTCGTCGATGTCGTTCTCACTATCTACCTACTACTCTAGGGAAAACCCTAGGTTTAGATGATCTCAGATCGGTGTTGACACCAATGGTGTCATTTTTCTCTCTTAGGAGCATCGTTTTGGAGTTGCATTGGTTAGGGGGACCAATCAATGATGGCAGCTTTACTTGTGACTGACGCTTTCATGTTTCGCCGGGGCCCTATTTTGGGTGCTTGAAGGATCGAGGTGGAGTGTTTCATCGGGTGGCAGTGATCCTTCATTGAGACGCCACAATACAAAGATGGTGTGTGTGGCAATTTGTGGGTTCACGGCCTAAGCAAAGCAGTGCCGACTCGTTGTGTATTGTTTGGGGTGCCCAAAATTAGCACAAACAGACAATGGCGATGGAGCGTCGGATTGCCAGATCGTCTCCAAGATGAGATTTCAGAGGTGGCGTCTTCAGCTCGCGTGGATATCGTCTAGATCATATGCGCTTACACCATTTTCTATGGTTACAACTGTTTGACGAGGGTCAATGTTACACCATTTTTCTTCAAGTGTTGGTCTTTTATAGCTTTGCTATTTGCCGGCGTGATCTTTTGTGTGTGGTTGTGTGTATCCTAGTTATGTAGAGGTTCAGGGTATACTGATTGTGTTTTGTATCTCTTTTGTGCTATGTTATGAGCTAATAATAAAATCGCCCCTTTTTCGAAAAACATATGGGTGACGTGGCGGTATGGAAATTTTGCAAATCGGCCCTCCTTCTTTTCTTGCTATTCCAACTCGGTATAACCTCGAACTCGAACACCTGCCGTGCACGCTGGGGTAGCTGGGCGACGGCGGCCAAGCCAGAAGCTCCCGCCGTTCTGCGGCGTCGCCACAAATTTTGCCCTAGCTTGTTCCGTGTGACCTCGGTGTCCAGATCCATGGCGCGCTCCACCTTTTCCTTCCACCCCTCCACCATGACGGGCTCAAACGCCGCCAGATCCGACTACCCACGCTCCGAGTTTCCCGACTGGGTCCTGCTCTGCGAGGAGCCGCGTTTCTCGGAGCTCCGGAACGAGACCACCGCCGAGTGCGAGACCAGCGAGGGCCAAGCCATGGAGGTCTCCTTCTGGCTCGTCGACCCGCCGGGCGCCTCCTACTTCTCCTTCAACTGCCCCGGCCTCCACGCATCCGCCTTCGACGACTACGCGCCGCCCTCCCTCGTTTGCTCCGGGGCCGCCTTCGTCCTCTTCAGCCTCACAATCAGGGGCGCCGTCCACCACTTCGTCTACACAGCCGCCCCCGCAGGGAAACAATCGCTTGAAGCGCTCACCGACCCTCCGGTCTGCAGAAGACGGCGGTTCGGTCTCCTGCCCCGCGGCGACGGTGAGCACTACGCCGTGGCCTACGTCGACCGCCAGTGGATCTCCCAAGACGACGACTGGCGGTTTGACGCGCACGTCTACTCGTCTGAAACGCAGGAGTGGAGCAGCCACAGGTTGTCGCTGCTGCACTTATCCAAGTCTGACAAGCTGCTCTGTTGTAAGCATACCTTGTACTACAGGCATATCGCCGTTGCAGGCTCACTGGGCTGGGTTGATCTGCTACGTGGTGTCCTCCTCCTTCGCAACCTGTTCGACGGTGGTGATCCTGTCATCGAATTCATCCCGTTCCCTGAATCAAGGGTTAACTTTCTCGACGAGGATGGCCGCCCTCACCGCGCCTGCGAGTATTATTGCAACGTCGCCTGCTGTGATGATCTCCTCAAGTTCATCGAGATAGAATTTGACGACCCTCTTGTCAGGACCAGCCGTAAAGGTTGGAGAGCCAATGTGTGGAACAGGAAGATCTCATGGAACAAGTGGGAGATCCGCTCCACGGTCGATGTTGCTAGCATATCCGTTGACCAAAGCTATTCTGCTTTATTGCCTGAGCTGCGACAGGGTGATTTTCAGAAACTTGACTTGCAGAAACTGATTTTCTACGCCCCGGTGCTGAGCACCCGCAATGACGATCTCATTTACATGATGGCCAAGGTGAATGCTCAAGATGAGACTGCCTGGGCCATTGCAGTTGACATGGAAAGGGCAGCTGTCGAAGCAATGGCCCCGTTTTCTCTCGGACGACACCACTACCACATTGCAAAGTTCTGTCCATGCGACTTCCCCAAGTACCTCGACATGATCCCAGGCGACTCTTCCATCTTCATCCCCATGTGATTTAACTAGCAGTCTTATCTTTTTAATTCTTTCTTATCTTCAGTATTGACACTATTGACACTGGACTGTTTATTGATATAATTCGTAAAAGAAATGGTTCATCATCTGCTGAGTGGGCAACAAAATTGCTCAATTGAAAACTTGTGTTGTGTGTACTTTTCCATCCTTTTTATTTAACTGTTCCTTTGTCCAATTTTTTGCAGGAGCAGGCATGCATAATCCAGTGGACAAGTGCTTTAAGTGGTAATTCAAACATCGCTAATTTTACCTATTCAAGTATTTGATTCTTTTGCATGATACTTTTTTCATTTATGTTGTTGCTTCTGTTGGATGCCTGTTGCCAGGTTGAGTGCGAAGCACTGTGTGGTGCAAGTGTTCTGGGCTCTGGACTGGCTTCGAGAACTTGGTAACTGATATAAGTTTGACTTCTAGATGTATTCTATTTATTTCTCTTGGTCATTATACACTAGATGTGCATCCAACATTCAACAAGTGCATGTTTAGATTGTAGATCAACAATTAATTTCCTTAACACCATCTGTGAATATCTTCTGAATTTAATCTGCAGCATTACACACTAAATGCTTGTCCATGTCAATTATAATATTCTTGTAAATTTCTCGATGGAAATGTTCAGCAAGTGCAGCCTGTGAGGTACCATGATAGTATATAGAGAGGTCAACTTATAAGACATGTCCATGTCAATTATAATGTTCTTGCAAATTGGCTGTCATGACCAGTAGCTAGATTCACATATGCATGGTCCTTTTGCAGATCAATGCTTGGAAGTTGAGAGGTCAACGTATAAGACATGCAGATTACTACTTCAGTTTTCTCCGGTATCATCTCTGCGTTCCAGTAACAGATCAGTAAGTTATGTTATTCTGTCTGACAGATTTTATAGTCCAAGGCTTCATGTTACGAGTGCATCTTTTTCTTTTTGCTAACCCTTTGTGGTTAAGTATTTTTTTTCTTGGAACTGCGCAAGCATCTTTGCTTTGAAAAGCTTGAGATTCTTCATTTTTTGGGTCCAAACTATGGAGACAGCCATTGCTAACGTGTTTACAAAGCAGTTGCTTAATTTCAATATTATGGACTCTCAACTTTGATGAGCAATTGCTTGAATTCATATTATGAATCCTAAAGAAAATCTTGATGCAGATAGTAAAACATTCTGGTCAAGGTGAAGCTGCATCGGAGACTGTTGAATTTTGCTTACGGTATATGGAAGCGGAAACCAGAAACTTATTTGTATTAACTTAGCTTTATATCTGACTAAGTGTCTGGTGTTCCCTAGAGCTCTGGAAGATTTTGACTTGACACTACACGAATCATCAAGCAATGGGTCAGCATCTATTGAAGCCATGAGGAGCAAAATCATTGACATCATTGAAGCTTTGGACAAGTACAATAAAACTAGTCATCTCTTTTCTTTACTATTAAAAGGAACCATCTAGCAATCCTAATTTTATAATTTTTCAATCCTTTTAGTATCTTGCAAATTGTGCCATTAAAGTTGATGCCGAAAGGAAGGATGCTCGGAGATGCCAGCGACCAGAAAAGAGGAAAAACAATACATGAAACTTGTGAGAAACCGAGCCGTGAAGGAGTTGTGGTCTCGGGTCGTCGTTGGTTCCTGTCTCTCATTTGCTGGTTACTCATATTGATAGTGTTGTTATGTAATCTCCCAAGGGAAATCGCTCGTTATCTTAATCCCATCGTACTTATATGGGATCATTGTAGTTTGTAGATGACGGTGCATGATCTGGTCAGTACCCTCAGTAGGGTTGCTAACGTGGCTGGAAGTCTGAGATCAGGGTCACACAAGGGTTTTACCCAGGTTCGGGCCTTCGGTGAGGAGTAATACCCTATGTCCTGCTTGTTACTGTTATTCATGGTGGATGTACCTTGTGTGAGGGATTGCAATGAAGAGTATGATATGCTACTATGAGTTATTTCTAAGCGAGTAGATGGGAAATGAGAGCCTCGCAGCCTCCACCTTATACGCTCAGTGGGGGCTAGGATTTTACAATAGAGAGATCCGATCTTGCTCGCCACGAGAATGGCTTGGGAATCTAGATGATTTGTTGGTGTTTATCCAGTCCTCCGGGCTCCTAGCTCAAGCCAAGGGTATGGTGGGCCCTTTGGCAGGCCTGCTGCCGAGCTCCCATGGAGAAGCCACCCTCGGTGTATTGCACCATTAGTAGCCCCCGAGCGTGTCGGAGGTCGAGCTTCGAGATCTTTAGCGGGCTCCTTGCCTTGGTGTTGGTCTTCGTGCTGCACGTGGGGAGCTTGGCCTCGCACCTTGGGGACCTTGGCCTCTTGAAGATTATGTTCCGACTTGCTTCTTGCGAGGGCTCGTGAGAGACTTTATTGTGGGGTGGAGCTCACAGAAAACCAGGCCTTTCAGGTCGATCTTATCATCTGACTTCTTGTGAGCTGAAACATCACTCGCCTACTCTGTATGGTCTTGTCAAGATGGGTTAGACTAGCCACAATGGATGGTAACACATATGTTACTAGTCTATGTTACTACCTCTATAGTGGGGAATAACATATGTGTGGTAACATGCAACACTTCATTTATTAGGCTATAGACACATCTTTCCTTGATATGTGTGATGTTACTCATACTACTAGTAAGGGCATCTCCAATAGTTTGTATGTTAGCTTGTTGGTAAAATATGCCATGTCATCAACCAACACCTTAACATACAACAACTCCAATAGATTGTATCTAGTTTGCCCAATAGGATGTGAGATAATAAATAAGGTGCTCTCTCATTCTACATTGGAGCTTGTGCAAAGGGTGTTGGTTCATGTACATACAATCTTCCTCTCTTCCCTCATTTATTGTATGACACATCATCAAAAATTCTATGTGGCAAAGTCTACCAACAACTATCTTACAACCATTGGAGATGCCGTAACTAGCTATACTACCACTTTTCTCTTTTTCTTCATTTATTGCTTGCCATATCATCCATTTTATCTAGATATGTGTGATGTTACTATCTATGTTACTCCCACTGTGGGTAGTCTTAGTGGACTGCCCACGCTTTTCGGTCATGATGAGGATGCCTAGAATTTCGTGCCCATGTCTCATGAAATGGAATAATAGTGACTGCGGGACGCGTGTCACGATGTGTGGCCCAACTAGTCGGCTTTTACTAAGGTGGTTATAAAGGAGGAGAAGAGGTGAATTTCTTCTCCTGCTTCCTTCATCTTCTTCCTCGCGCCCCTTACCCAACTACTCTGTCACTGCTTCCTCCATTCCTACCTACATAATCCTCGCACCCTTAGCCTCTTTCGCCTGGGACCAATGATATGGCCAACTCGGGGATGCGCTTAGGGCACCACTCAAGCAACCGTGGCCACGGAGCAAAAGCGCAAGAGAGCCGCCTCCACCAGAGAGCATAAGAAGCGGGTGGCGAATGAGACCACTAGGAAGAGGCCCCCCTCTGTTGTTTCCAACGGGGATCTTAAGGGTTTGACGATGGAGAGGTATCTATCGGTGCATCTGAGATGCCAGATGCCCTTAAAGGAGGTCCCCCCGATGAGCGCTTGCTTCATAAGGAATTTTTTGGGCATGGGCTCGGATTCCCGCTGCACAGTTTCATGCACGGGTGAAAGGATATGCGGTGCCCCCATGTGTGGTTTTGGTAATTAATGACATTCTCTATGGACTAATGGTTGCATTGAGTTATATTTGAAGGATTTGTCCATAGGCTTTTCTTGAAGTACATGTGTTGGTTTCAAGGAGTTTATGATTGACCAAGGTGCTATTAAGGAATTATCCAAAGATTGGTCATGTGAGTGTTGAGCTTATTGCAAGCATGTCTTGAAGAAGAAGACTGTGTGATCATTCATGTTTACCTTCAAGACATCATCCAAATGAAGAGATTTGGAAAGAGTCAAGGTTGATCAAGACTAAGTACAGAGAGTGATTCAAGTTGATCATCACACAAAGCATAGAAGATACATCGAGTGGGATCAAGTGATCTCACGGTTTGGTAAGCATTGTCCATTGTGCTTTGTGTACTAACCCATGGTCTTTGTGAGAGTTCTATGTGGGGGTATCGTTGCTTCCATGGGCTTGCGTCAAGAGGAAGATCACATACAACCCATGGAGGTTGACATCAAATCAAGGTTGTGTTGCGCAAGTTCAAGTGAAGCATCACGAAGAAATCATGCTTGTAGCTTGCCATCCATTATGGTATCAATGGACTTGTGAAGATGTGCCAAAGAGTGGCTCACCCATAGTGGAGTATGGGGGAGCAATCAACTAGTCTTCATCGGGCGAACGCAATCAAAAAAGGTGGTCTAACTTGAGGGAGTCAAGATCGTCATCATCTAGCTCAAGTGGACTTCGTGCAAGGCAAAGTTTTGCCCTTGATAGGTTTTATTTTTTACCGGTCTCATGGTGATAGTTTGGAGACTAGGTTATAGGATCGATAGCCGTACTATCAAGGGGGGCTCTCAAGTGAGTAGCTTGATCGTATCGTTCGTCGAGAGCTCAAACCATTGCATCATTGCATCATCTTTATTGATTCTTATTTGTATTTTCTTTTGAGGTTTTAGAGCTTGTGGTTATCTTCGTGACAAGCTCTAGTACTTTGAAAACGGATTGCATATGCCTCTTCTATTGCGTTTTCGGTGTTGGAGGTTTTACCGGTCTTATTCGAGGAAGGGTTCTCACCATTTTCTCTTGGGACTTTTCTAATTTCCTTCTTAATGTTATTTTTTATCAAGATTGTGTTAGCCCTTGTCGTTAGCTTTCTAACAAACTTGGTTTCGTTGAATTCGGAGTCCGTTTGCAGAAATTCAGGCAGTTTTGGTGTTCTGAAAAGGCTGCAGCGGTACTATCGCGGATTGGAGCGGATGTAATTTTTTACTACCGCTCCAGAGCGGTACTACCATGGCTACTACAGCAGTAGTACTGTTCCGGACCAAAATCTCGTATTAGGTCCAGCGGTGGTAGGCATGGATGTATTTTTTAGTACCGCTCGCAAGCAGTTGTACCGCTACTCTTTGCGGTAGTACCGCTATCCCTAGCGGTAGTACCGTGAGGACGAGCGGCAGTACTGCTCCGGCGGTTCTACTAGCCTTTTGCCTCCTCGCTGTTGTTTTACAAAGGGCTATTACCGCCCTAGCGGTAGTACCGCTCCTTGGAGCGGTAGTACTGCTCTGTGCGGGCTGTGAGGATAACGGTTGGATTT